AAACTCTGCATTATTAGCTCACAAAATCACAAAATATAAAAAGATGTTTCTTATACGCCACTCAATTCATGTTACAAAATAAAAGGGGATCTCAAAAGAAAATGTTACTCATTAAATAACTTTTCTTTTTCACTTCCACTACTAAATTATTCTTTTTTTTTTGTTCTCCTAGTTGAACTAGAAAAGCTTATTGGACTTTCCTGGTGTTACAATTGTATATATGTATATCTATTTTGAGAAATTGTTAGAAATTAAGATATAATTAATACTGTATCCATAAGGAGCAAAAGAGTGCAATTGTACTGGTATAATAAGTTAGAGAAACTACACTCGAAACTTGGGTTCGAATCTAGCTATATCCCTTTTTCTCAGCTCATATTTGAGCTAAGGTAATATTGGGGCACTTGAAGTATTCTGAGTTTGTCTATCTTAGGTGCTCTTAGTTAAAGTGTGCGACCTTCTCATCTAAAAGCTTAAACTATCAGAGAAAACACAATTTTATTAGTTAATTATATTTTCAATACTCTTGACACACATGTTGTGGCATTTGCATTAACGATTTTATGAATCTTCTTATACTCAACTAGATCAATAGATTTATGCAAATAAAGTTTATGTACATTATTACTATATAGAAGCGTGAAGCCAACCAAACGACCAAGGGCAATATTGTAAATATATGTTCATTTAAAGGGCAAATATTAATTATATTTACTGAAAGCAAGTTAAGTGGGTTAAAAGTCCAATCAGAACAATTATTTTATTATTATTATTATTGTTATTTATCTTTTTGGTGTTCCCGAGGACCAATTAGGACAACGACCAGCCAATTCTAGATAATAAAAAATTTAATATTTCTTCCGTCCACTTTTAATTGTTATAATTTTAATTTTTAGAGTCAAACTATAAGAATTTTGATTAATATTTTATAATGTATTTTTCATCATATTGATATACACAAATCTGTAATTTATAGTAGTTTTTGTATACTTTTTGACTATCTATTTTTTTTTAAATGTCTTATTAATATAATAATCTAACTTATCTTTGAAAATTAGTAAAATTGATTTTCAAAAAGCGCAACATGACGATTAAAAGGGGACGAAGAGAGTAATTCTTCTTTCTCCATACATATGGCAATTTTTTTTTTCCGGAACTCTGATATTATTATTTCATTTTATAAAATGTTTTCACAAACATAAAAATACAGATCCATTTAATAATTAAATATTCAACTTTGATTCTATAATGTAGCTTAAATTATACATATATTGAACTTCATGTGATAATGAAACATGCTACTTAGTTCCATTTTTTATGTGTGTGATAAATAAAAAATATTAATCTCTCCGTTTCAATTTGTTTGTTCAATTTTGACTTGGAATGAAGTTTAAGAAATTAAGAAAGATTTTTTAATCTTGTGGTTTTAAATTAAAAATGTGTGAAATATAGTAAATGTCTTTTAATCTTGTGATCTTAAATATATTATGTGGAGTTGGAACTAAGAAAAGAAAAGGAACATTACTTTTTAATAGATTATAAAGAAAAATATGACAGATTAATTGAAATGAATAGGATAGATTTCAAGATAATAATACATAATAATTCATGATTTTTATATAAGATATATAATTCAATCTAACAGACAAATTAACATTGAATCCTAATAAATTTGTGTCATTATAGTAAAAACTAAATAAATTAAATATTAGACTTGAGTGTTTTACAACTTAAAAAATGAATCTACCCATCCTTAATACCAATTATACTTAAAAAATATTATTGGGTTAATTTAATATTAATGAATAGGATAGATTTCAAGATAATAATACATAATAATTCATGATTTTTATATAAGATATATAATTCAATCTAACAGACAAATTAACATTGAATCCTAATAAATTTGTGTCATTATAGTAAAAACTAAATAAATTAAATATTAGACTTGAGTGTTTTACAACTTAAAAAATGAATCTACCCATCCTTAATACCAATTATACTTAAAAAATATTATTGGGTTAATTTAATATTTTTTATTCAATATTCAATATTCATATTGAAGTTCGATTAATTCTAATGTACGCCGAAATAGGGCACATTCGGATATAGTGGTCCCTACTAAGAATTTTTTTCATATTCAAAACTCAAAATTAAGATATTTAATTAAGGAAGGAGCAACTCAATGCAATGATGCACTATATTCTTTGATGGTAATTTCAACATTTTTTATACTAATTTTTTTATCAGAATCAATATTAATTAATATTGACCAAAATGCTATAGAAGTGCCTTTTAATATTTATTAAATAATGATTAATAATCGATTATATTGGGCCCGTATCACGGACCTTAAGAATCTATAGAAGTGTGAAGACAACCAACGACCAAGGGTATTTTGGTAATTTTCCACTATATCAATCTCTATAATAGACAAATTCAGGAAGTGAAATTGTTGGTGTGCTCAAATGCACATGTCCAATCAAATACATGTATTGATAGTATAAGTGCAAATGATCTTTACTTCTTAAGCAGTTTCTTGCCTATTTCTTTTTCCATCAAATTGAATTTTTAATTATAAGAAAAATTGTATATCTTGATTCATTTTTATGATGGGAGTTGCATATTTCTGAGAATTTCTTTTCTGAGAAGCACTGAGTTCATGAAAATATAATTTGGTTACTTTAGAGGTGATATTTGAATTAATTTAATTTAATTACTTCAGAGTTAATATATGAATTGTCGTAGTAGTAGTATTTGTAGCTATATCACATCTATATAAGTAATAAATCAACAGACTCCGCGCTAAAATACAAAAGTTGCTTCAAAAAAAAAAATTTATTGAAAAAACTTTAGTATGAATGAGACATAATTAAACCTCAAATAATTTGAGATTGCACTTGATCAATTTTGGTGTATATCTATTAGTAACTGATTTATAAATAGTTATATGAAAATGTAATTAATACTCCCATATGTATAATGTTCAATTTATAAAATAGTTAATATACAAATGTAATTAGTACTCCCATATGTATAATGTTCAATTTATAAATAGTTATATGCAAATGTAATTAGTATTCCCAAATGTACAATGTTCATCTACGTAAATATTTCACTTTAAAAACAACATTCAATATAATGACATTCACAAAATATATAGATAACACGTTTAACTGCTATATTATTTATTATTTTATATATAATGGTGTTTATATGCGATTGTCTCATTTATATTAATCAATTTTAGATCACGAATAAGACCACACGTTGGGCCCGTGCTTAGCACGGGCAATTCTTATCTAGTATACTATAAAAAGTACTCTTTCTAATGAGTTGTTCGATGTGTATTGTTTTTATTTTTATCAAAACAAGAAGCAAGGAAAATTTGGGACTCGGTGATTTAAGGACGAAGATTACAACGAAAACCAAATAGAATTGTGTAACTAGTCACTCCTTACTTAACCCTGAGGGGTAGCTCAGCTGGTAAAGGCCTGGGACAAAGTCCTTCAGGTCGCCGGTTCGAGCCCCAGTAGGGCCACTGGAGGCATTACAAACCGGCCGCGTCTCCAGGGCCCCGTGGAACTAACCGTGGTGGACCCGCCTTGAAACAGCGGGACCCGGTGGATACAGCTAGTCGGGTTCGCAAAGCGACGCCCGGAAACCACGGTAAAAAAAAAAAAAAAAAAAGTCACTCCTTACTTTTATGGCCCAAACTGAATTGTCCAACTTAGAACTAAATCCAAAATACAATTGTGTGTGGAAGTCCAATAAAAAACTCCATGTTATATTCTAAATCGTTAGCTCCAATATTTTATTGGGATAGTTTTAAATATACACAATAAAATAATTAGTTTACAACAAAATATAGCCATGTTTTATTGGTTGAAATGTGTAATCATAACATTTAAAAGATTAAGTTATTAGATAGAACACACTTTTATTATTTAATTATATTTTTAACACGCCCCCTCACATGCTACCTGATATTTTTCATGAGTCAAGCACGTGAAAATTCTTTTTTTGATATGAGTGGCGGTAAGATTCGATCTTAAGACCTATGTCTGCTCTGATACTATGTTGAAATGTGTGAGTATACACTTAAGCTTGCCAAAGGTCATAGAAAATATATACTGACTATACATTATGATACACTCAAAAAACTAAATATAACATAACTATACATGAAGTATACATTACAATAAAAATAAATAAAAAATACATGAAATATACATTGACTATTCAATCTCAATTAACTCGAAATCACCTCGAAAAGAGTCCTAAATTTTAGATATGAAATCTTTTCCATGATTCAAGTTCTTTGATATATAATTTTCTCGAAACAATTAACTTTTGCAGTACATCAAATTTTCAAGCAAAAGAAAAAACAGTGAAGAAGAAGACGAAGGAGGAGGAAGAAGGAAAAGGGAAAAGAAGCCATTAATGGCAAAATGGGATGGAAGAGGAAGAAAGTTAGAAGTCATTAATGGTGAACTGGGTAGAAAAAAGAAGAAAGAAGTTTTGGCTGATTTTAGTAATTTTGAAAATTTGGCTAAATTTTTTATAATGCAAATAGCCGAATGACTATTTCGCATAACTATATAGCATCTATAATTCAAACTTCGTGCAAAATCACAAAACATCCTGAAATATTTCCACCACGCTTATTTACATGGTATCAAATTAGGGTCCATCCCAATTATTCGCCCACCCTCCCATATTGAATTGTCTGCGCACCCAATGTTGAGCCCTCAACGTGAGGCGGAGTGTTGAAGAGTCCTGAAATAAAAAATTGTGAGACATAAATATTGCAGATCTTGCTTGTGCATTGGACGAGATGTATTTTTCATAAATATTTAGGTAACTTTTTTCGCTTTGGTTGTTCTCATCTAACAGACTGTCACAACTATTTCTAAATTAGACAAATACATATTGTTGTAGATCACATTAACCTAATAACAGTTAACAAAATTGCAACTTACTGAAGAGTCAAAAGTAAATCTCATTTAAACAAACAGACATTCATATTTTTATTTGATAAGCCAAACTGAAAACACAGAAACATACTCAAAGGCTTCAATACAAACTAAATCCACAAATCCAACATCACTCTTAATTATTATTAGTTACAACCAGAGGTACAGCATGAAGTTTCTGTTGCTTTGGTTATGCATTTAACATTGCCAGTTTCATCAACAATGCAAATGCAACCTTCTCCACATTCAGCTATAACTTCCCCTGCTTTGCTAATTTTACAAGTATATCCTGCATCTGTCTTGCACATCACCTTGCAACCATCTGACCCTTCTAGTGCTTTCTGTGCCTCTGGATCAGATTCTTCCCTTTTTTAACAAATTACAAATGTGTAAATGAATCAATTTTTATACTATATGGTTTAACACTACAACAAAAATAACTTTTAGCGACAATAAATAGACGCATTAATAAAGAGTGCTAAAGTCTTTACCAGCAGGCATCAGTTAAGTGTCATTAGATCCAGTGTCGCTAAAAGGCTTTAGGGACATACACAGAGTGATAATTGCCGCTAAAAATACATATTGAGCGACAATTAAGCTATTGTTGTTAATTAATTACCGCTAAAAATCATTTTTGACGTGTAAATTGACATACATAATAACATGTAATGACTATTCGTATCATGCTTGATATGATAACCTGGAAAATAGAGTGCGAACTGACATATAATATGTGTGTGATTGTGTATAATCAATGTATAATATGTGTATATTCGCTATATAATTGTTTGAGTATAATGAAATTTTAGAGTACATACAGGCGGGTACAAGTGATGCCGCTGGAACATTGGCAAAAGGGCTTGCCAGCCTTGGAACTCTCTGTTTTAGTAACAGAGCAAGACCATCCTTCTGCACACTTGCACTCTACTTTCCCATCTTCCACTCTTTCACAACATCTACATAGGGGTAGGAAAAGGAGGTTACGAGGTGGGAAATCGAAATCCTTATAAACAAGGTCATAGTTCAAAGTTCAGATAGTCAACGTACTGAGCTGTTAAGATTTCATCTTCATATATACTCCTTTTTCAAAATTTTCAGATCAATATAAATATCAGATGGAAATTAGAATCTATTTGTTAACCTGAGTGATTTCTGGGCCTGGCTTGAGCTATGAGCCTCCATTCTTGGCTGTAAATTAATTATTTTTCGTCTTGCTAATTATCCTGAAATTTGTTTACTACAATTCATGACTCATATATATCTGATTAGCTGCTTTATAGATGTGGCTACTGATTATTTCTTTACATTTAGATATTTGAAATTGCTTGTCATTTTCTCTTATCTAGAATATTCCTAGCTACCATGATTCAGATGGTCACTAGAACATGTCTTATATTATATTATGTATATAGAAAATAATATTGCAAATATATAGGTTAAAAGCGACTTTTCAAATATATGTACCAAAGTTTTAAACCACAAAATTTTTAGCTTTTTTACTACCTACAGACAGTGGTGGAGTCAGAATTTTTGATAAGGGGTTCAAAATCTGAAGAAATAGACACACGAAGTAGTCTAAGGGGGTTCAACATCTACTATATATACCTAAAAAATTATATTATATTTACAATATAATATGATAAGGTGGATCCGCCACTGCTTATAGGCTCTTGAGCCAAGCCTTATTTTGACATTACAATTTAGATTTTAGGCCGTCAGAAATCAAGTTGATTTGAAGTTGAAATTTTATTTGAATATCTAATTTTAAATTTTTTAAGTTGTATTATTATTTTTATAAACATGAACTTCCCATTATTTAGAAAATTATTTATCAGTTCTTATTACAATCTTACTAAATGAGCAAATCATAATTTATAAACAAAGTATCCAAAATATTCTAAATTCTAATGTATCGCAATTATAAATGCATATCTCTATGTCCCTTTCAATAATAAGTATTTGCGCTTAAATACCATTACATATTTTAAAATACACATAATTTTGCCAAAGATCCATTGGTAAATAATACTCATGGTCATTAATAATTATTATTTAATATAATCTTTTCAGGTCGAGCATGCATCTCTTATTGCAAAATTAAAATAATTATTTTTTTCCTTTTGTAAAATATAAACTTATGTGTAATTATTTATATATATATATATATTTTAAAACTACAACTAGAAATTTAAAATTCTATTTTTTTTTGATGAATTTGTAATTTGAAATTATGCAAATTTTGAACGTCTGCGTATTCAAAGGATGCGATCGTATAAATTCCCGGTCCACAACAAAGTTCTTTCGTGTGATAATTGCGTAAAAATATGAAAAACTATTGGATATAATGTCAGCTGTTAATATTTTCCCATATTAGTACTATTAATTAATACATTCAGAAAATTAATTACTAATATTTTTCTAGGATGGTGTAGCCTACCTGTTGATTGAGAAAAGGATGTTAATAAAACAATTAACAATAGAAATCACTTTTAGCTGGTAAGGTAGCTATGTATTAATAGTTGATCAAGTCGAACACTCTTAATCAAAAATTATATTAGAAAATTATATAAAAATAAATTTAAAAATTGTTATTATTATTATTATTATTATTATTATTATTATTATTAATCTTGAGCTCCATTGAGACGAAATCCTATCTCTGGTCCCTTTTCCTCCTATTATTTAAGCAACGATAGACAGTAATATATTTGAGTGATTATAAATTATCTTATCAACAATAATTATCGATTATTTATAATCAACTAATTCAAACCAACTCAAATTTGCTTTCATGTTGTTTTCACTTTTCACCGTTCAATTTACAAATAGAACCCCATCTTGTGATTATTCTAATTCTCTATCTTGTCTTTTACCAATCATTATGACCACTTTTGTGGGGAAAAAAAAGCCACTATATGTGGTCAAAAATTTCAGGAATTTCTTTGACACCAAAAGTGCTCTTTATCTGAACTTTATTTATATGACCATTATTGATCAAATTGTATACTTTAAGAAAATGAAACAATTAAAGAGATAAGGGTCATTATTAAATTTGAAACACTAAAGTTTGATATAAATTTCTACGGTTATCAATAAATGTAGCCATTAGATTTTGTTAAATATTTGACTAACATTGAAAGTACTTATTTTTGATAAACTTAAATGAACAAAATTGCTGAAAAAATATATTTAAGAAACCAGTTTGCACCTACCTGAAATATAAGGGACCATTTTTATTACTGTATTTTATTCTAAGGCTTTATATATACCTCGTCTACTTTTTTTCTTTTAATAATATACAATATATATGCATCAGCTGACTTATTTCCTATTTTATTTTTATTTATATATTACACATGACTTGTGAGACATCATTTAATTGCTATTTTCAACAGGCTGGAATGTCCTTAATGTTATGAATCAGCCCAAGCCCAATAATGATACCAACAAGGGCATCACACAAATAGATATTGAGCTAAGTAGGCCCAATAAAATCAATAAGGTCAGGCATTCACAAGGGATAATTTTAGATCTAGATTGAAGGTGTCATTTGTTGTCGTTAAATAGAATAAGTCATCACTATCAAAGGTTATCATGAATTACGTGCAAAGGCATTTATGTGTTTCTCATCCCCACCTGAGTCTAAGTTTCTCATTTCCCTTCTACAATGTTTATCAATCCCTAGTTCTTACATCTACATTTTTTTTGGGGCTTTTGCTATTTGAGTTGTTGTATTTAGTTTCTGGATTTGTAATTGAACTCTAATCTTATTTTATAGTTGAGAAGTTGGTTACTGTTACATTAGATTTGAGTTCATTACACTTAACCTTATCGAAGCCCAAAATACATTGATATCCTATATGATGTCTTGAATATTACTTGTGTATATACTGTCCAAAAGGCTGAAAGCCCAAAATAAATAAAATGACAAAAGGCAGATTGAGGTCTAAAATAGATATCTCTATCAAGAAAATAGTTAAAAACTTACAACTGACTAATGTTTTCTGTTTATATGACTAAAGTATGAGATTAAGCATAAGATATTAATTATATATTATTAGTAGAGAAGAAAATACTATAGTTGAAAATTAAGCTAAGACGGAAAACGTAACAGAAAAGTTTAAAATGTAGACATTTCACTTACATAAATATACTATATTAAAAAATATTTATCATTTATAGCAACAATTTATTTTTTCACTTGATCACTTTTAATACATATATTTATAATATAGTTTTAATATATATTACAAAGAACAATTTATTATTCACATATAATACAAGTTTTATTGATGGATAATAGATTTATCACACATTTTAATACACTTATAATATAATGTGTTTATTTCTTATCAAGCAAGCATGACATATTTAAAAAACAGTTATAATACATATATTTTGCATACATAATTCACTTTTAATACATATTACAGATTTAACATAATATTGCTATGTATTATTATAAATAGTAATAAATAAAAAATTTCGCTAAAATCAGTAATTATTTATTAAAATGTATCCATCCAAGTAATATATATTGTACCAATTATGGGAACACCCACAACCGACACCAGGCCCATAATACAATGGAATCCAAACTTTCTAACTCAACGTAGTCTTTAAACCCTTTATAAAATGGGCAAGTTACACATTAGACCCTTTGACAGAAATAATTAATTATATCATCTAGCCAAATATATATTGATTGTGCGTTTTTTTTTTATAATTTTATATTATACTTATAATATACATATGTTTATTATTATTTTAGGTGACAACTATACAATATAAAATCGTTTTATAAAAAAAGGATCTCTACACTAACGATATTTAGTGTCCCATTTTTAAAAAATGACCATAATTTTATCTTTTACAAAATTTAGCTAGTAAAATCACGGCGTAATTTGTGTATAATTAGTTTGTGTACCGTAAACATTGATTATATATTTATTACAACTTATTATATACAAATTACATATTAAAGGATCATTTGGTATGATGGTGGGATATTCATATTTCATGGAATGGTATAAGGGGTTTTTATTTGTGCAAGAATAGCGGCTGCGAATTTTTCTTGTTATCAAAAAAGAAAAATATATTTCATGGAGTAAGATATTTTATGAGATTAAACTATCCCGAAGATATAGTACTCTTGCAATTGTCTACAAGGATTTTGCAATGGTCATGAACTGATTTAAACATCAAATCTAACCTTTAATTTGCATAACCTCAAAGCTAGGTGAATAATGGAAAGAAACTTACTCGCATTGGGTGTATACATCAAATTAATGTAATTTTTATTATTATGTGGTTTAATAAAATAGAACACATGATAATTAATTAAGATTTAGTAAAATAAACTATAAATTTAAACACATGGCATACATACATGTATTGAATTAGTGTATACATTTGGTGTGGGTAGATTTTTTATAGGTAAGTTCTACAACATCTTTTTTCCTGACTAGCATTGTATACTTAATTTTCTTCGTTTGGTTGCATACAAAGTCATTATTGGTATACTGAGTATTATACCAATAAAAGATAATGCTTCTAAAATGAGTGTAATATCCACTTCAACCATTTGAAAACAAAACAAAACAAACAAACAAAAAACGCAATCATCACTTAGAAGAACTAATCACCGCCACCAAAGTATATGAAGACGGCAGGTTACTCTACACTGTTTTAATTTGTGAAAACAAGAGGAAAATATTTTTCGTGAAAGATATGTAGATAAAAATTTTCTTAGAAAATAAGTGATTTTAAAGATTTTGAGAATTTTTATATTTTCATAAATGTGGGATATTCCATTCATTATTATCCAAATATTTTTTATGGACCTCGATATTTTCACCCTCACAACTTTCGGCTGGTTCCTGATGGGCCACATTGCACCTAACTAATTTGATATCCTTGTCAAATTAGATAAGTGTAACTCACGTTCTAAAAGTTAGTTCAAAAAGAAGTAGACTGTCCAAATCTTATAAAAAAATACACGATTTTTGTCCTTCACCAGTGTACTTAGATAAATCATCATATAAATATCGATCTAATAAAATTAAAACAATATATAAAAGATTAACATGGTCTCTGTGCGAGAATGACAAGCACAAATCGAGATATTCATATTCATTAGATAATCAAACGAAGTCTGCTACGTTATAAAAGACTAGTTGCGAGAGGAAATGGCATTGTTATTGATGTCTCTTTGGATCCAAGAATTAAGAAATGATGTAGTCGAGAAAAAAATGTTTGGGCCGTTTTGACATGCAAATTGGAATTCAAATTTAAAATTTGTATTTGTTGTTAATTATATTTGAACAATTTAACTTCAATTTGAATTCAAATCAAATTTCATAAATTCATTTAAAAGGTAGAATTTTAATTCCAAGTATGTAATCTTCATTTTAAAAAATTAAAACTTGGTCCATAAATTTAAATTTTGTAAAAAAAAAAAACTCATATTCGACGTAAAGAAATTGTGTGCACTTTGTAGAAAAAAATCTCATATACACACACTATTGTTGCTTTATTGGACAATGTATCATTATAAAATTATGTATATTTAAAAAATTTAGCATGTAATCATAAGAATTTATCTATACAACAAATATGGAGATATATGACTTATTAATTTTACGGATACACATTTCGATATCTTACTTTGCTTATGAAATATGAATTAAAAAGTTTTAATAGTTTTCACTAATTGTGAAATTTTCATATTTATGAGAAAAATAAATACTAACTTTTAAAATTCAGATAGTATCTCTAAACATAATTTCAACTTCAAATTAGTATATCATAATAAGGCGTGGGATTGATAAAGGGAAAAAGTATCCACTAAAACATATCAAAGTGAAATGGGTGGGGGGATCCCACTTAAGGGAAGAGAAGGTGGTATAGCATGTGAAGCTCTAGAAGGTAAGGACCATTTCTTTAGGGTTTTGATAATGTTTATGTAGGATAACTAATTATAAGTATCATAATCTAGAAATAAAAATGATCTCATTTGGATGTCATACAAATGAAAAAGGAAATTCTATTGCCCCTAAAATATAGAAACACTTTCAATTCAATGAAGCTGAGGGATTAAAGGACCACATGGTATCAAATATTGTTCACACCAAGTGATTCTCTTGTTTGGATAAATAAAGGTATAAAGTTATAAAATGCATGATGACTCTTGAAATTAGTCATTGTTGGTTGACATGCACATTCTATGTCCGGTAGTTACATAGTGCTTACCCGAATTTAAAGTCGATGAGTTTAAATTTTAACCTTTTTGAATTAGTAGATTATACATTATTAGTAATAATATGTATAACACTCCACTTCATGAATTGGTATTCCATGAAAAGATATGTGAGATAAGAAATTTAGTGTTTCACTACGATTTCAAATAGCGATCTTGAATTCAAATTGATTCAATATCTACTCTCGATCAAATAATTTTCTATTATAATCCTGATCGATCAAATCATTCATATAATATATAAACATATACTCCAAATATTTGAGATTCTTTCTTTTTGAATAAGATCTCGATTCAGGAACAACTTCATTAGATATGTTACAACTAAAAATCTTCTAAAATTAATAATAGTGATATTAATTATCTTAGAAACCAAGGTTCTAAATGATTCATGGCAGTTGATATGAATAATATTTGTATCTATCTTGCATTATCCCCAATGCAAAACTAGCAAGCGAAGTACCTTTGAAAAGCTTCTATCTCATAGGAGGGTTCGATATCCTTTATATTTGATGTCGCGTAAAAGACTGATTCAACGAGATATGCCTGCATGTTGCGAGAGTGAGCTCCCTCTCTCTCAGCTAAATAAGGAGGTCGAAAATTCATATTCTTCCGTGATTTCCAAATAATTTCAAGTCTTTGTTCATACTTGGCTTTATAAGACACTTAAAGAATAAATTTTGGGTATAACTCAACTCTAAAAGTTAGTTTATGAGGAAAGATCGATTATCCAAAACTTTATAAATAGACTTATCCTTTTTTTTTAATCCGGCGTAGGACTCTTCAACAACGGTAAGTTTACATGTAAACCCTGATCAGCTTGAACAGTACTATATGATTAACTATTATTATACAACCAATTATTTCGGATAATGCTTGCATCTACTGTACTTACACAGAATTAGCCGATACTTATTCCTCAGATACCGTCATTGCTTCTCGTATTATGTTTTTCTGCACTAATTGATGATGATTTTCTACCTAATGATTACAACGAAAATAAATAATTATAATTATCCTGCATGCATGTGGAACTAATTAATTAAATTCATATGTATTAATATTAAATATGATTGTGGATACCATATAAAAGCATGCCAGCAGCCTTTGGTACAGAATTAGTGACCTAAGTATCCATTTAGAATTATATAATCTATTCATCAAAATGCACAAATTTGTTCTAGTGGATGTAATGTAATCGTAATCATTCCAATATCTCATATTTTATTTTCAGTGATACTAATTTTCTCTCAACTATGTGCTAATCCTTGTAATCAAATCAATCGAGATTTATTGGTTAATCTCAAATAGGACAAACCTCATAATTTAATCCCTAATGTTGAAATTTATGTTAGCTAAACCTGAATTAAGCTAATATACATGATTTAACAAAAAAATCTAGTTGATTAATATAATGCTTAATTACTTTCATTAGCATATAGGTTTCAACCGTGCTAAAACAAATTCAAAAAATTAACAATAAGTTCACAATAGCACACACCAGGTAAAACCTTGAGAGTAATAAACTTAATTAGGTCAATCACCCAAGTAGTGTAGTGTAGCTTAGTGTTTTTTCTTTAGTTTCTGCAATAGCACACACTATTTATACCCGCGTTAAAATGAAAAAACGTGAACCCAAGCCAATTAAAGGACAGTTTGATGCACTTAAACTTTTGTTATGTGCAAAGTTCGAAGATATATTCAAAAGATATATATCTATTGTGAGATTTATAATCCTGAAATAAGATATATATTACCAGTTGCAACCGATAAAAGGAAACTCGATGATATAACAAATTCGTTACACGATATGATCGATGGGCTGGAATTGTATGTATGCAACTGCTGAATTTAAGCAGGGGCCGTTATATGTTATATTTGATATGGAATAATATGGGAGACAGCACAATAAGCACACTAGCCAGGATTTGAGAATTGAAATGAAATGAAATTAATCAAACATGTGAATTGTGATATAGTGTTAGTGAATTATATTACTCATTAATGCGCTTTTTGCTTAGACGCGCTTTTCTTATCCTTGGAAAAAAAATTCTATAAATAGCTTTCACTCCATGCATTCTATAAGTCGTGGTTGTGAAATATATTTAATTGTTATTCCAATGGCGAAGAGTAGTAGATTTTTTAACATATTTTTCTTTATTTTGTTGAGTATAGGAATATGCTCATCTGCAAGAACCCTTATTGGTCTTGATGTTGGTGTTGGGGCAAAGGTCGGCGTCTATGCCGGTGGCGGTGGAGGTGGAGCTGTAGCTGGTGAACATGGTGGTTATGCCGGTGGAAGTGGTAGCGGTGAACGTGGTGGAGGGGCACCAGGAGGTGGATATGCAGGTGGAGGTGGTGGAGGTAGTGGTGGTGGCGGCGGTGGAGCTGCTGCTGGTGGAGCACATGCTGGTGGATCTGGTTCAGGTGAAGGAGGTGGAAGTGGTGGGGGATACGGTGCTGGTGGGGCGCCAAGCGGTGGAGGTGGCCATGGAGGTGGTGGTGGAGGTGGTTCAGCATCGGGAGGAACTGGTGGAGCGTCAGGTGGTGGATACGGAGGTGGTGAAGGTGCCGGTGGTGGTGCAGGCGGAGCTCATGGAGCTGCAGGAGGATATGGTGGTGGTGGCGGCAGTGGAGGTGGAGCCGGTGGTGGTGGAGCAACTGCTGGTGGAGCACATGGTTCAGGTGAAGGAGCAGGAAGTGGTGGCGGATATGGTGCTGGTGGAGCACAAAGCGGTGGATATGGTGGTGGAGGTGGCCACGGAGGTGGTGGTGGAGGTGGTTCAGCATCAGGCGGTGGATACGGAGGTGGTGAAGGTGCTGGTGGTGGTGCAGGAGGATACGGTGGCGGTGGTGGAGGTGGAGCCGGTGGTGGAGGAGCCTATGCCGGTGGTGAAGGGGGTGGACATGTAGGTGGATATGGTAGTGGTGAAGGGGGTGGATCAGGACATGGTGGTGGTGGCTATGCCCCTTGAAAACTTTTTCTCTTCACAATTTGCAAACACTATATGATTTCTTATCTACAATACAATTAAAAAATAACACGATCAAATTGTGATAAGAGGTCTATTGCATGAAAGCAAATTAAAATTGTTGCAGCAAGAGAAATGCTCTTAACCTATATGTGTACACTTGTTTTTTATATTCTAATGTAAGAAAGACGTCTAAACAATGATGTCTTGCACAATATATTTGGTGCATTTAATGTAAGAAAATGGCTTGGTAAATTCCTGCGTACGTTCTCCAGACATTGCATGCATGCATGCTTTATTATATAGTTATCACTATATTATCACTATTAAGTCATGTACTATATGTCATCACATTTGTGAGTTATAAGAACTCCTCATTAAGGATGAATTGGAATGACTATAGTTAAATTGTGTTAAAATGTATAAATATGTGTGTCTCGATAGGAAAGATATCACCGAAATATAGCACAAGATAGCCTTTTCTTGCTGCCATGAGGTCGGAGATTTAATTCACGTAGACCCCAGCCTTATTTATTTAAAAGCAAAAATATTACGAGGGGACAAAGAACCAAAACCTCCAAAGCAAAAAACCATAATACAACTTATCCTTACATCTACGAAGCACATTACGCAAAACAAAGTAAAATGATTTGCTCCACAATCTGCTAAATGTGTTGAGCAGCACAAAAGCAGAGTGCTTACTCTGTTACTCATGTATAGATTTTTATTTTTTTTAATAACTGTGGTACTATTCCGCAACTCAATTTATTCTATAAGATATCTATCATTTTTCACCAAGAAATATAAGATAACTTTCTCCACCAATAATAAAACAGATAGAAAGAAATCACCTAATATTTACCGTACAAAATTTAGTTCAGTGCTTTTTTTGTTAGAAAAATAGTTCGATAATCTAATTTCTCTATAATTAAACTAAAAGGTCAGTGAATTTCTATGTAACTAACTTGCACTTGTATAATCTTCTACAAGCACACAAAGAAAAAAGAGTAAAAAACGCTTCCCTGCATTAAGTTGTGTCAGAGGCAAACTCAAAATTTGAAGACTCCGATTGCATCATTATTATCTTAATTTAGGCAGTACCAAAGTTTTTAATGACAATTAACGGATACTATTGTATTAGATTGGTTACTAATGACTTCAACAATAGTGAATATATTAAATATAAATATGAGCTCTAAGCTCAAACGTAACCCTGATCTTGTGGGCGGATATGTGTTGGCTTGTACCAGAGATACCAAGTGCCCTTCTATGCTTTCTATGGGACTGTTACTTATATTTAGTTTCTGTCAATTTCTTAAGATAGATATACGAATATATATTATTTTTTTTTCGAAGTTAATGGTTATACATGCATCCCACCTATATATGTGAGTCTGCCTCTGGCTGCAACTATTATGCGACGACATGTTTTCATTTTTTGTCCATCTCAAAGAAGAATTTAATTTTAAAATTTTCATTTTACTCTTAATTATATGACTTTATAGTCACAAAAAATGTTTATGGTATATTTTATAGTAGCACACAAATTTTAATGTCTTTCTTTCATTTTTAAACGTCGTACTTAATCAAATATGCTCCTGTAATTAAAATCGGACCAAAGTAGTGCCAGCAGCCTTTGCTACAGTTAGTTACCTAAGCATTCACATTTAGCAATCTCATAATCGAATATTCAAAACGCACAACTTTATATTGGTGGATGTAAACGAAATCATTCCAATTTTATAACGTAAACAATTTAAGCTAAACTTTTATACAAGTACGTTTTTATTTATTTAATTATGTATTTAACATAGCCCTCATGGGCCCATCACAAGAAAATTGGTATTCATAGTAAGTGTTGGTGAGACTCGAATTCAACACCTATTATATATTCTCTGTCCACACTTTTTGTTTTTCGAGAGTCAAAGAGTTTAAGTTTGATGGACAATTTGCTCATGCATGGAATCTTCAAAAAACTATGGACAATTTGCTCATGCATGGAATCTTCAAAATTTTTAAAATGAAATTTATATATTTGTAAACTATGTAAAAAGTACTATAAGTCACAATGATTGATAATTCAAAATGTTTAAAAGATCTATGAAAACTTACGGTAAAAAATAGACTTATTTGAATCTCAAAATCCGAAAAGTGTCATATAAAATGAGACGGAAGGAGTATTATATTATGATATCACGAATAAAAAAGAAAGCATTTACAAAAAGAAGTCTGTTTATGTAATGGATAGAATTTGTTCAGTATACAGATTGAATGTGGGATACAGCAAAAGCACACTAACGAGACTTAGAATTGATATGAAATTAAACCAATTAAGCATGTGACATAGTGTTGGTGAATTATAATGGACCACTTAGCTTGTAGGGCTCTTTTATATGTGCTTTTTGTATAGACGCGCTTTTATTAGCTTCCGAAAAATCTATAAATAGTGTTCATGAATCCATGCAATATTATTCATATTCAACTAATATCTATTACAATGGCGAAGAGTAGTACTAGAGTTTTTAATATAGTTTTCTTTGTTTTATTGAGTATAGGAATATGTTCAGCTGCAAGAACACTCATCGGTCTTGATGTTGGTGTTGGGGCGAAAGTTGGTGCTTCTGCTGGTGGTGGTGGAGGAGGTTCTGGTGGAGGTGGTGGAAGTGGAGTTGTAGCTGGGGACCATGGTGGTTATGCTGGTGGAAGTGGTAGTGGTGAAGGTGGTGGAAGCGGATATGGTGCTGGAGGAGCACCAGGAGGTGGATACGGAGGTGGAGGTGGTGGAGGTAGTGGTGGTGGTGGTGGTGGTGCTAGTGCTGGTGGAGCACATGGTGGTGGATCTGGTGCGGGTGAAGGAGGAGGAAGTGGTGGTGGATATGGTGCTGGTGGGGCATCAGGCGGTGGATACGGTGGTGGAGGTGGTGGTGGTGGCGGTGGAGCGACTGCTGGTGGAGCACATGGTGGTGGATCGGGTTCAGGAGAAGGAGGTGGAAGTGGTGGTGGATATGGTGCTGGTGGGGCACCAGGCGGTGGATATGGTGGTGGAGGCGGACAAGGAGGTGGTGGTGGAGGTGGTTCAGCATCAAGTGGAGCTGGTGGAACGTCAGGTGGTGGATATGGAGGCGGTGAAGGTGGTGGTGGTGGTGGTGGTGCAGGCGGAGCTCATGGAGCAGGAGGCGGCGGCAGTGGAGGTGGAGCAGGCGGTGGAGGAGCCTATGCAGGCGGTGAAGGGGGTGGACATGCTGGTGGATATGGTGGTGGTGAAGGCGGTGGATCCGGACATGGTGGTGGTGGCGGCGGCTATGCTCCTTGAAAACTTATTATCTTCACAATTTGCAAACACTATAGGATTTCCTATTCTTAATTAATATCTATACTATTAAAAATAACATGATCAAATTGTGGTAAGAATATGTCTAATTTATGAAAGCAAATTATTAAAAATGTTGCAGCAAGAAAAGTGCTCTTAATCTATATTTATGCACGCTTGCTTTAATTTTTTCAAATATCAATCGCAAGGAATATGTGTAAACAAAGGTGTCTTGTGCAATTTGGTGCATATAATGTAAGAAAATGCTTTGGCAAATTCCTGTGTACGTTCTCTATTATACATTGCATGCATGATGCTATATACAGTACTGGTATTTCATTGGACCTCTTAAACGACTAAGTAAAGAAAGAACCAAGTGAAAAAAAATAAAATATTTCGTTCCTTTTAATTTGTTTCTCTAGTTCTGACTTAACACACGAACTTTAAAAAATAACGAATATTTTTTAATCTTATAGTCTTAAACTAAAGATATATAAAATATTAAAATATTTTTTAATTTTATGGTTTTAAACATGTCATATGAAAAGGAAGAAGTATAGAGATACCAAAACAGGAAAGATCTAGACATTCTTTTTAAACAAATTAAAAAATAAAATAAGACAAACAAATTAAAACAGAGTAGGTATATTTAACCGTCCATGCTACTAAGGAAACAAAAACTACGCACTACAGAATGATTCATATGATGGTTAATTTACTTATCATGTATAAAATAGAAGTATCTGGACAAAGAATTATTCCAACTAAAACTATGCTTGTTATTAGGCTCTTTTAAGGTTAATTATGAATTATGAATAAAAATTACAACTAAGGGACAATAATCTGTCCTCAATTCTCATAGTCCAGTTGTAACAAGAAGCAAAGAATTATAATTTTGGTGGACAACATAGAGATGCCTCCTTGCCGTCTCTCTCTCACGCAAAGGCAGATAATAGCTTAACGGTATCGGATTTATTTGAATTTAGTATTTTTTATGTGAAGTATAGATTTATTTATAAATATTTAGTAAATTAGAACAAATATTAAATATGAATTCATAATTTTAAAACTAATATGTTCAATATAGGCAAAAAAATATTACGCAGGTAATTTCTTTTATTATCATTTGTCCAAGTTTGAGGCAGAACAAAAGAATTCTCTCGTAGCCATTAAGGATATGAATTAAGTTAAGTTAATCTCTACTTCTAATACCTTAAATTAAGAGTCCAGATTATCACTAATGCATGTATACAATTGATCCTCACTAAACAAATAATGTACAATAGCGTGGCGGAGTATAATCTAGCTAGTTGAAGATCATATAAATCACCTACATTCCCTGAGAAAGTGTGAAAACGTTTTGGATTTTATAGACTGATGAAATTCATCATGAAGATTAGGACTTACGATAGACGCATTAGGGTGTGACTGTCTGTGTGAACTGATGATCAAGTATCTGTGGATGCCAGCAAAAGCACACACTCCATTAGTGCAAATTAAATTAATCATTTTTTGGATTTCGAGATTCGTCTATCTTTGGCCACTTATAGTACTTTTTGTTGGGTTTAGCAAGGTGTGAATGAGAAATAAAAAAGAGAAAATGGAAAGTGGAAGAACCAATGAAAGTGGGGGAACCAATTTTGGAGGGAAAATGAAAAGTTATCATTGCAAAAGTGCAAATGAAAGGTCATTTTTACCATATTGGTAGAAGAAAGGAAATTGTTGTCCTTATATTAGGAAACACTTCCTTTAGTTCTTAAAGGGTTAAGAAGAAGGTGCCCCTCGCGCCGTCGTCGCTCGCTCGGCTTCGGCTTCGGCTTCGGCTTAGTCGTCGCTCGCTCGCTCGGCTTCGGATTTGGATTTGGCAAGTGATTGATTGATAATATTTTTGGACAAAATTTATTTAATCAATCTTGTTAAATCATTTCCTTTCTCTTATAAATTAATTCAGAATGTTAATTAAATAACATAATTAATTTGGCGCAATTGAATTTATTTGAAATTCACATGTAACGGTAATCCTTCCAAAAAGTCATTACTTTTCCCAAACGGTAATCCTTCCGAAAAGTCGTTACTTTTCCCAAAGGACACAATGTTCTGGAAAAAACGGGTCTGAACAAATTTTTCTGAACAAACTCGTTCCTTGCTGCAAATGGCTATAAATAAGAGGTCTTTTTTCATTTTTTCAAACACTGAAAATTTTTCCTCTCTGCATACATATTCTTACATAAATAAAATAGTCGATCGATTGAGTCTGTGTGTGCTCTTGTTGTTGTTCTTGCGTTCGCTGAAGTTATTGAAGTTTGAGGTACCGCTACTTCTTTAACAGGTTAATCCGTTTTATCTTGGGAGGAATTAATCTGCAACCTCGAGTACAGTGAGGGGATTAAATTTCTTAAGGAAACACAGTGATTTCTGTGGACTCGGATTAAAAATCATTCTATCAATTTCATCTTTTTCTATTTCTGTATTTTTGACTAACCTGAATACAGGAGATAACACTTTTTATATGTAGTTTACAAATATATTTTTAAAAAAATTATTTCAAAAATATTAAAGATTTTATGCCCAAATTTTCGGTCAAAATTAAATTGTTTGACTCTAGAAAAACAAAAGGTGTCACATAAATTAGGATAGAGGGAGTATCATTTTAGAGTTTGTCTTCCTTTCCCTTTATTTCCATTATCATTTTGGAGTTTGGTGTGACTTTAAATGTGTTTGTGGCATAGACGCGTTTTTCTATAAATAGCGTTCTTGAATCCATGTAATATTCATAGTCAACTAAGTATCTATTCCAATGGCAAAGGGTAGTTTTTAATATTGTTTTCTTTATTTTATTGAGTATAGGACTATATATGTTCAGCTGCAAGAACCCTCATTGATCTTGATGTTGGTCTTGGTAGCGGTGAAGGTGGACATGGTGGTGGCTATTCCCCTTGAAAGCACAGTTTTCAAAGGATTTCCTCTTCTTAATTATCTGTACTATAAAAAATACTAACATGATCAAATTAAAAGGTAGAAGAGGTCTAATTTATAAAAGCAATGAGTGCTCATAAATCATAATATCATAATATAGGGCTATACTTGTTTCTTTTAATTTGAATGTAAGAATGTGATGTCTATATAAAAAGATGTCTTGTGAAATTCAATGTTAGAAAAAAATGTGTTGTCGAATTCTTGTATTCTCTATATCTTTGCATGCATGCTATATAGTTAAAAACATTACATTGGACGAACTCAAGACTACAGGTGAAAAGAGAAAAAAATATATTAATTAAACTTCTAATAAACAAAAGAAAGAAAAGAAAAGATCAAGTGGAAGATTCTGCCCTTTAATTTATTTAATTTTTTTTAAAAAAAAAAAAGAAGAAGAAAGACATCGCCTCTATAGATTATTTTTGTGCAAAAAATTACATATTTGAATTTGCTATATCAGATTTTGTATATGACCATCGAAATAAAACACAAGTGTGCCTACCCAATCAATCTATATATATATAAATAAAGGAGAAACATAAATTAGATGATGTAACATCTCTCTATGATCTCTATTCATATTCATCTTTTTTCACCTTTTTTGACCATGTTTTTGTCATTTAATTATTTATTTATTTTTAATGTCTCAAAAAATCTTTACATTCAATTATTCAACTTTTCATCTATCACTATAATATAAATTTAATATCTTTAATAAAAATAAATTTAACTACGATAATAACTCACGCCTCTTCAACTTATACTCTTAATAATATTCAAAACTTCCTTTTTTTTAATCTTCATAACCCCAAAATTTAATTTGTTAGTTTATGACACCTTATGGTATTCCTCCTTTTTGCCTATATAAATTCATATTTTGAATGAAGAAAATTTTCATTCAAGTTATTCTTTCACTTCTCCATCACAATAGCATACATTAAGTGTGAGGAAGAAAATGTTAATCATCACATCATATATTTGCTTTCAAGAAAGTCATAAAGAATTTAAGAGTAAGAATGTTTCTTTTAATTTTTAAAATTATATTTTTTTATTTTAATTAATGTGAAATTATTTCTTTCTTTTTTTTTTAGAATCAATTTAATTAATATTTTAAACTATGTAACTAACAATATTGTAAGAATATAAAAAAATATATTTTTTTATTTTAATTAATGTGAAACTATTTCTTTCTTTTTTTTAGAATCAATTTAATTAATCTTTGAAACTATGTTAACTAACAATTTTGTAAGAATATATTCTTATGCTTCTAGGGATGAAGTAGAAAGCTGAGAAAGATAGAAAACTGTGAGTTTCAGAAGAAGATGTAGAATTTTATAATAAAATTATTATGTATTAGTATAGTATAAGAGTGTCAATTACTACTTTCTCCATTCATTTAGCACTTATTTCTATTTTTTATTGTAAAAAGTTAATGTCTCAAAATTTAGCATTTATTTCTATTTTTTATTGTAAATTTTTAGGCTTAAATATTTATTACTCCAACTTTTTATTTTCTCCATAAAGAATGAAAGTCTATATCTATCTATTAGAAAAGTGTTGTAGCACCTCTCTTTGGTCAATGATCTATTTATCTTTTTTCTCAATTTTTTTTTTATAATTTCCACTATATTTCTATTTATTATTACTATATATAAAATGTGACAATTACTACTCCCTCTGTTAGTTCTTATCCTTTCATTTTCTTCATAAAGAATGAAAGTCTACATCTATTTATTGAAAAAGTGTTGTAGCACCTCTCTTTAGCCAATGATCTATTTATCTTATTTCTCTCTTTTTTTCACTATATTTTTATTTATTATTATTATTATTAAGAAAATGTGTCAATTACTACTTCCTTATTAATTTTTATTATTTATTGAAAATATTTAAATGTCTTAAAATTTACTACTCTACTTATTTCTACTCTTTATTGTAAATTTAATAGCTAAATATTTATCACTCAAAACTTTCATTTTCTCCGTAAAGAACAAAAATTTTCTACTATATTATATAAGAGAGTTTAGGCCCAAGTATAATATATAATATTCAAGATTGGGACTTTTCCCATCTTGAATATTATATATTATACTTGTGGGACTTTTAAAAGGAAGTTTATACCAAACTATAATATATAATATTTAAGATTGGGACTTTCTTGAAT